GGGGGGTTTTTGTATGTGGGTTTTTTTGTGTGTGGGTTTTTTTTTGTTTGGGTTTTTTTGTTTGTTTGTATATGTTTTTTTTCGTGTGGGGGTTTTTTGGGGTTTTTTTTTTGGTTGTTTGTTTGTTTTTGTTTGTTTTGTTTTGTTTCAGGTTTTTTTGTGTTTAGGTTTTTTTATTATTTGGGGGTTTTTTGGGTTTTTTTGTATGTAGGGTTTTTTGTGTGTGGTTTTTTTTTTTTGGTTTGTTTTTTTTTTGTTTGGTTTTGGGGTTTTTTTTAATTTAGTTTTGGGTTTTTTGTTTCATTTTTAGGGGTTTTTTTTGAGGGTTCTTTGTTTCTTTCTTCTTTTTTAACTTTGCAGTTTACATCTTGAAAAACTCTGGCTGGATTTTTCACATATTTTACATATAAAATACATTTCACATCCTTTAATTACCCCATAGGTCCAACCTGCACGAAGAAAAGACATTTTTAGGGGGCAAACCACTTGCAGGAATTCAAATCCAGGCAGGATGAGGGAGGAACTTCCCTCACCCTCAGCAAACACTCAGTGCCTTCTCCGTCTCACCACGAAAAGCTGCTCAGGCTTCTATTTTGACACTTTTTCCCTTTTTTAGACAAAACATGATGTCTCCAGTCCCAAAGCCAACCAGCATGTTTTGACTGTGCCATTGATTGCCTGAAGGATTTGTTGGCTCAATCCCACTGGAATAATTTGGGGGACCTTGGGAAATCACTTAATGGAATCGGGTCCCGCGGCTGCATAATCTTGACTTTTTTTTTTTTTTGCTGGAGTAATTGAAGATGCAGCTTAATAAACTTTTTTTTTATAAAGATTCCCAGTTGGTTGCAGGGTTTTCAAGGGGGGGGGTTGGAGCTGAGCACAGAACTAATACATCTTGTAATTGTCTCTTTTTTTTTTTTGCTTCCCCACCTCACTTAAATCCGTCCCCCGGGGAGGAACGTAATGTACTCTAATGCTGGTTCCTTTTACAAAGTGACCCCACTCATTAGGATTTCTTCTCCACAGCTCCCCTGACAACACAGAAATGCACTGAGAATACTTAAGCTTCCTCTCCATCAGTCTTTTTTAATTTTTTTTTCTTTTTAAAAATCTATTTAAAACCTGGAATTTCCTACCTCCATTACTACAGACTTCCCTCCGTGCTTGGTGTCACCGCCACACACACGAGCAACAGATAAATTTGATTCACTGAGCAATTTATTTCTGTGTATTTCCATGAAAATCAGGTGTTGTGTGGGCTTGGCTCCTGCACCACGGTGAAGATTTCAAATTGTATTTATAATTTGTGATGTGAATATTGAGGATTTTCTGGACCTGGAGCTGCAGGTTCCGTAAATGTTTTCGTCCCATCCTCTCAAATCTCTGGGAAAGGTTGATTGTGGTGGTTGGATGTTTTTTGCAGCTTGGGAAAGAGGTGCAATAGTTGGGTTTCTGGTTGTGTTTAGAGGTAAAAAAGCACTATCCCAGTGCAGAAAAGCTTTTAGCTGGGAAATGGTGGGAGAAAGATTTTCCTGGGAAAAAATGGTTCCTTAAAACCAGGAAAAAACCAAACAACCAACAGAGCTCTGGGTGCGTTCTTGTTACTTAAAAATATATTTTCACAGGGTTCTTGATGATGATGATGATGAATTAGTTGTATTTTATATAATTTAATAAATAGTGACATTAAGACTCAGAACTTTTGGATTTGGACAGTTAAATCTGAGATGAACTTCTGGAATTTCTAGTGGATGTTCGTATTTAAGTGCTTTAAAAAAACGATAATAATTTACTCCGCGACCGGAATAAATTTAAAATCCTTTTCAAACCTGCCCTTGGAAAACATACATTTTTTTTTGCCTCCACCTCGTGCAGGTTGAAACAAGAGCAGATGTTTGTTCGGGATGAGTTTGGGAAGCTCCTGGAGCGAGAGAGGATCTCCTCAAACGAGCACCTGACCCGAGCCATCCTTCGGGAGCGAGCGGCCACCGAGGAGGAGCGGCAGAAGGCCCAGCGCTTTGTAAGTGCCCAGACTCCTCCAGAACCCTCAGATTTGTCAAGGAATTATGTCTTCAGGTTTATTGGTAGAAGAGGAAAGAGGTGGAAGGGGTAGAAGGCGAAATATCCCCTTGTTACTTCTTTTTTCTTTATTCCCTCGCTTTATTCGAGTCAAATATCTCCGTTTTAAGAGCTCTGGCTGATGGTTTCAAACCAGATCAGAGGGAAATGGTGGATCAAAGGCTCATATTTCATTGGAGCTGATGGATAAAAAACGTCCTGAGGAGGAAGTTGGAGCATATGGTTGCCTGTTTTCCTGGGAAAACTGACATTATACATTTCAAATGTCTGACAGATTTGTAACTTCTCAGACGCAGCAGTTACTCGCTGCGTGGAGTCTCTGTTGGCTCTTGGAACAATAATCATTATTCTCTGAGGAACAGGCCTTAAAAATCCATAGATGCTTAAGCATAAATAGGAAACCAATTGGTATTTCCAAGGAAAAATTGAAAATATTCCCTGAGCATTCCTATGAAAATAAAAAGGATTACTGATGTCAGCAACTGTATTAATGTTTGGCCCTCTGAATCCGGAATAAAATCCGAGTGTTTTCAGGTTTATTGGTTGGTAATTTAGTGATCAGTCATCTGTGGTGTGTAAGTACAAATCTGGTCTTGTTTTCCAAGTAAGAACCAAATCTGTTGTTATTTTTCCAAAACCCAACCAGTTTCCCCTCACTGTTGACATCTTTTCCAGCCCTTTCTCGATGCCCTTTCACCTCATTTTTGAGGAAGAATAATTTCAGTGCTGGAAACAAATATTTGGCCATTTTAAAATAAGGGAACAAAGGAAAATGGAGAGGAATTATAACCAAGGCACAGCCTTAGTTTA